TCACCCCAATATCTGGCTCCGGGTTTTTTATTAATAAGACCATTTAGCAATTCTTGTTAAAGATTTGCAATTATAAATAACCTGGTAAATATGATCAAAGTACATTATATGTGCATATGAAAGTATCACAATGAAACAAGTTATTTTATATAATTAGTGTATACTAATTAAAAATATGTAACTCACAATTTTATACAAAGCAGTCTGACTATATCAGTGCAATCTTCTGGTTAATTTAAATAATACAGAGAACAGTTGTAAAAGAAAAACCTGTACTAATGGGCTGGCAAGATGGCTCAGCAGGTAAAGGTGCTTGCTATCAAGTCAGATAACCTAAATTTGATCCCCAGGATCCATATAGTAGAAGTAGAGAATGAGATCCTGCAAGTTGTTCTCTGACCTCACACCTGTGCTGTGACATACATACCCACATACATTAATTAAAATGTAATTAAATAATCTATAATAAAAACTAAAAGTATTTCCCTAAAAGTGTTCAATATATGAGGAATACAGAGCAGAGAACCTATATTTTACAACACCTTTGATGTTAGAAAGAGCCATGAAAATATGGTCGCATGATGTTCTAAAGTAAATCAGAATACCAAAGAGACATAATGAGGTTTATAGACTCATTCAACTTGTCTTTTAAAAATGACTTAGCTCCTCTGGATCTCTAGTTGTGAACTATAGAAGATAGGTTGTAGAATTAGAATATGATTTATATTGTGTATGATACAGCTTGTGAAAATTGTTGTTTCTTTAGTCCGTTCTTTATACTTAAAGTACAAGTATCATAGATAAAGTTTTATAATATTCATGACACAACTGAAGTAAATACACTAGCAAATTTTACAAAGTAAATAAAATGCAATTGTGCTTTTTCATTGAAAACCTTTAGTCCAGTGGCTTAATTATATCACTAATGCCTCCCATCTCATGATGGGCTTTGAAGCCACCAAGCACTTTGAAGAATCATAGAATCTTGAGACTGGAGTAGAGGCTCAATTGACAAGAATGCTTGTATGCTTATCTCACATGAACAGGGCCCTGAGTTCAATCTCCAGCACCCAAAAATGAATGAATGAATGAATGAATGAATGAATGAATGAATGAATGATCGATCATAAATCTTGCTTAAGTAATGCTTTAAGTGATAGTGTTTTTACAAGTTAGCAGTGTAGTAAATCTCTTATTAGTTATGTACCTTTTTTGCACTTCTATTAAAAGCAAAAGGATCCACATTACTTTGACTGCTGATTTCATTGCTCTTTCAGCTCTTAGAACTAAGAACTATGGAATGCATTGTATGCTGTCCAAGCCTTTGTTTATTCTTGAGACAGGGTCTCATGGAAACAGATTATACAGCCCAGACTGACTTTACATTTACTGCATTCATGCTGTGTCTGCCTCCCAAGTGCTGGGATTACAGTTGTCTCTGTAATGCCCAGCAATTTTTATTTATTTGCTTCTTGAAACAGACTGTAGCTTGTGATAATTAATCATGGATTAACTACCAACTGCACAGGAATCTTAGTGAATGATACCTTACAGGGGAGTCAGCCTTCATAGCAAAGAATTTGGATAGTTTCCATTCAACTACACTTCCAGGTTTTGTTTGGGGTTTTCTGAGAGCCCAATAAATACCTGTTTCCCCGCCCATACTGAGAGTTAGTGTGGCAAAGATTAAGTTGTGGCTGGTGGGCACTAAGATGCCAGTTATATTACTGATACTGTGCAGGAGTAGACCACGGCCAGACATTCCAAAATCACCCAAAACTACACTCTTTAGAGAAAAAAAAATACAGCCCTGGCTATATTTTAATGAAGTTTATTGTATGTGGGAGGCCAACTTCCACCTTTTAAAAAGGTTCCTGTGAGGAGAGGAGAGAGGGATAGGAAACTTTTAGATAGAAAGATAGCAAAGAGGAGAAAAATAGAAACACAGGACAGCTTTGGGAGGACCTACATCAAAACCCAACAGTCTCTTCTGCCTCTTCAAAAGGGCTTTTTACAACAATGCCAACGGGCAGAGCAATAGACCTCTGCCTTGCTAGATCAAAGCACACTGCACAGCCAAGTGTAGACCCTTCCCAACACCTGGTAACCACACCCGTGGTCGTTCATCCCCTTATGCAGCCCTGCTGGGTTAAGCAAGCCCAGATTCTCGGACCCTGAGTAAGTTCTCACTAGGAAACATCTATGGATCTCTACAATTGTATACTTATTTTTAAAAAGACAGTGTGATTAGAGAGAAAACTTATTTATTAATCTAGTACATTTTTAGACCTTTCTTTCACCTTGAGAAGAAACTTTTCGGACTTTGTTAATTTGTTGGATCTGATTGGTTTGGTTTGGTTTAGTTTTTGTTTTTTGAGACAGGATTTCTCTGTGTAGCTCTGACTGTCCTGGAACTCCCTCTGTAGACCAGGCTGACCTCAAACTCAGAGACTCACCTGCTTCTGACTCCGAGTGCTGGAATTAAAGGCATGCACCACCAAAGCCCACTGAAAATAAAAGAAACTTTTAATATATTAATATAAATAAGTATCTATATATGTCAGTATTATATATCACAATATTTAGTTCTTCCTTGAAAAATAATATACTTTCTAAAAAGAAAATATATAGTATTAGGTGGGATATACATTTTATACAGTTGAAAAGTTACAATTTTTAGAAGTTAAAACAGTTGAGTTTGGCAGGTTTTGTTATACCTCTACAGTCTAGGTGGAAAATATTAGGCTGCCTGTCTCCTTGACTTCGTGTGTGTGTGTGTGTGTGTGTGTGTGTGTGTGTGTGTGTGTGTGTGTGTGTGTGTGTGTGTTTACTTTGGATCACATGATACTGTCTGTTGTGCTCAGTTTTTTCTGCAGTCTAAAGTTTTATCTTAGCAGAAGCAAACACATTGCATCATGACCCAGCATAATAAATGTTCACCTGGACATGAGAAGGCGTCAAAGAGAGAGGCATGGAACATTTAAAAAGCACACCAGAGGGACTAGATATTTAGGAGAATAAAGGGCATTTCTCATATATGGGAAAACGTTAAAGATTTTCTTGAACTAGGCATAAGGGCTCACACCTGTAATCCCAGCACTTGGGAAATTGAGACAGGGGGATTGCAAGTTAGAAGTCAGCCTTGGCTACAGGATGAGAACCTGATTCAGAAAACCAAGAAGAAAAAAAGATTATCTTGAAAAGCAAAAATTATAGCAACCCTTAAGGAAAGGAGACATACCCACTTGAAAGAACTACCTACAGAGTGTGAAAATACATGACCTGTCTTCTCTATATGTGTGTTAGTCTTTGAATAAAAGGCCCTTATTTTTGTAATTCTAAAGAATGGATTTTATCCTGGCAAAAAATTAGTAACACAAAATACGGTTTGTTTGTTTGTTTTCCTTTCTGTGAACCAAAATTAGGGCCTCATGTGTCCTAGGCAGGTACTCTTCCACTAAGCCATATTCACCCCCAGTCCCAGAACTTTGCACTCACACATATGTACAAAGCACGATGGGTATGGAGGATAAGCTTGTACCACAGCATGTGTTTAGAGGGCATAGGACACCTTTGTGGAATAGGTTCTCCTCTTCCACCTGTAGGTTCAAGGGATCGGACTCAACTCACTAGTCTTGCACACCAAGCACCTTTACCTACTGAGCCATCTCACCAGCCCCTCCTAAGCATTTTTATCATTCCAAACTGAAACTCTTCCCATTAAATACTGTTTTCATCCCCCAGTACCTGATAAGCTTGGTTCTATTTTTGATCTCTTAATTTGCTTAGGTACCTCATATAAATGAAGTCATATGTATTTGTCATACAATAATTACTATCTAGTTATGGGAACTGAAATAGCTGCCTCATTGTGCTTAGCATAATGTTATCAGCTCTCAACCATACATGCAGGAATTTCTTTTCTTGTCTTAATATTCTATTGTGGTTTCTTTGAGCCATTGCTGGACAGAGGGGTTGCTTCTGCCTGTTGACTAATGTGATTGATACTGCCCTCCACTAGTATTCAAATACCAATTTGAGCTCCTACAGAGTACTATTGGATATATAGGTAGCAGTAGCATTTCTAGATCATGAGATAATTTTTGAAAAGGAGCCAGTTTTCCACAACATCTTATGGCTTATTTTCCACCTGCAACACATAGAAGGTTCCCAATGTCTCCATGCCCTCTGTATTAGTGACTTTTCTTGTTGCTCTGACAACAGTAACTTCAGAAGGTACAGGTTTATTCTGGCTCAGGGTTTAAGGAGACAGTCCATCATGGTAAGGAAGTTAGGACAGCAGGCACAAGAGGCAGCTGCCAAATGATGTCCAAGGTCAGGAAGCAGAAACAACACTGGTGCCACACTTGCCTTCCCCTTTTCATTCAGTGAGGGGCTCCAGCCAATGACACCTCAGTTAGACCTTTCTAGAAGCATCTTCACAAACATGTCCAAAGGTCTGTCTCCTAGGCAGTTCTAATCTCATCAGCTCATAATTAGTCACCACAATTGCCAGCATGGTCTTACAAAGTCTTGAAAATTTTTTCTCACCTGTGTAGAAATCCTTGAGAAGTATGGGGCATATACTATACTTGTATTGTCATTACACTGAAAATAACCTTTTGGTGCCCAGCATTCAAAATGTTGTATGAGCCAGCATTATAGAATATTGGCCTTTGTCTTACTGGTTGTGTATTACAGTGTGTTCATGGAAAGGTCTCTAAGCTAAGAAATTACTCTTATAAAGTCAAATTCTTTATTTATTTATTTTGAGACAGGGTCTCTCTATGTAACCCTGTTTGTCCTGAAACTCACTCTGTAGACCAGGCTGGCCTTAAACTCACAGAGATCCTTCTGCTTCTGCCTCCTGAGTGCTGGGATTAAAGACATGTACCTCCACACCAGGCTAAAGTTAAATTCTTAAGTCAAAGTAAATGAAGATTGGTTTGTAGTCTGTATGTCTCTATTCTTAGCAACACCAGTTTTCTTTCTTTCTACAGCTCCCTGTCCAAGCAGCACTTTCTTTTGCCATAGCAACATGTGCATCAACAATTCTTTGGTCTGTAATGGTGTTCAAAACTGTGCATACCCTTGGGATGAGAATCACTGTAAAGGTAAGTCTGATGCAAATGCCAGTATTTCTATGAGGAGTAGGGGTTCCTTTCATAAGAAAGGAACTAGAATATCTTTTTCTACTGGTGTGCTTAGCATAGCTGTTTAGCAGAGCTAGACACATAATAACATTCTTTTTTTTCCCAAAGAAGGGTTTCTCTGTGTATCCCTAGCTGTCCTGGAACTCACTCTGTAGACTAGTCTGGCCTCAAACTCAGAAATCTGCCTGCGTCTCCCTCTAGAGTGCTGAGATTAAGGGCATGAGCCACTACGACCTGTCGTAATAACATTTTTAAAGGATAATTGACTTCTGGAATGTTATAAAAGAAATATTCAACAAAAGCCTTTCTTTGTTTGTAGAGTATATTGTCAAGTTATTCAGAAGTGTATCTTTGTATTTTATACCCTGTATTACATTATTGTTGAACTGTGTAGTTAGATAGTTTAGAGGATAGCCTCGAGAATGGAAGAACTAATAAGACCAACTCATAGGTTATCACAGTGATGTAAAAGCAACGCATCATAGAATGCTTCTTCTTTGTTTGTTTGTTTTTTTCTCTTCATCAAGTTACTTCTATTTCTAACATATACTCTGAAAGGCAAATATGATGATGAGAGGTATTAGATACTGAAACTTAGTTGTCACATCAGTTGGAAAAATAAAACGTATCTGTCTTTCAACTTCCTAAGAATTGAATACATAAATATCTTACTATAGGAAGCTGATGTAATCTGAGGGCAACACTAACTACTTGGCATGCACTTATCTATCATTCCAAAACAGTAGACCATGGTGGTACACCTGGATTGTTAGTCTGATCCTGCAGATAGGAATCAACATAGCAGTTGAATCTGCCTTATAGCAGAAAACTAAACTTGATAGATCAGGAGTATTTGTTTTTGACATTTTCTATATTAATATAATTTGAAGATTATAGGCACTTGTGAACCTTTTGAGTAAGGAACAAGCACTTTAGTTTTTCTGTTTCTAGCTAGCTATATCATGATTTGTTACTTGACTCAAAAATCATAATAGTATTTTCTATTGGTTTTAAAAACCAATTCTTCAGTTGCATTATCTCTTGATACATTTGCACCAAATAACCTGTTTTACCTAAAAATATCTAGTCAGTCTGTGCTGGAACTCTTATTAATGAATTGTGAAAACCTCAACATTTCTTTGTTACAGAGAAGAAGAAAGCTGGACTATTTGAACAGATCACTAAAACTCATGGGACAATTATTGGCATTACATCAGGGATTGTCTTGGTTCTTCTCATTATTTCTATTTTAGTACAAGTGAAACAGCCCCGGAAAAAGGTTATGGCTTGCAAAACTGCATTTAATAAAACTGGGTTCCAAGAAGTATTTGATCCTCCTCATTATGAACTATTTTCACTAAGAGAGAAAGAGATTTCCGCAGACCTGGCAGATTTGTCAGAAGAACTTGACAACTACCAGAAGATGCGGCGCTCCTCCACGGCCTCCCGGTGCATTCATGACCACCACTGTGGATCTCAAGCATCCAGTGTCAAACAAAGCAGGACCAACCTCAGTTCCATGGAACTTCCCTTCCGAAATGATTTTGCACAACCACAGCCAATGAAAACATTTAATAGCACCTTCAAAAAAAGCAGCTACACTTTCAAACAAGCGCATGAGTGCCCTGAACAGGCTCTAGAGGACAGAGTGATGGAAGAGATCCCCTGTGAGATTTATGTCAGAGGGCGAGATGATTCTGCCCAAGCATCCATATCCATCGACTTCTAATTGTCAACTAAAAGCATTAATTATTAAGTATGTGTATGCAGCCTACACCAACACCCATTCTGTCTCAGCAGCCAATCTTGTTCTGTCAAATTAGAAAGACCTTCATAATTTATCATAATGCTGATGATTTTATTATCTCAGGCAATCTATATATGTGAAACCAACCAAGGAACTTAATGTATTCAGTAGAAAAAGTCATCATCTGTTGCTTGGCATCTTATCTACAAAATACCAACAGTTCAATAGCAGTTGAGGAGTGAGTGGTCATGTTGAGCCAGGCTCAGCAGCCTGGAAGTGTTGATATCAGGATACTGTTCTTATTCACACAGCCCCATCAGTTTGATCCCACAGTAAATTTAAAAGTAAGATTTTTTCATATTCCTTTTGTCTTTCTTTTCTCTAATATGTTTTATTTGCCTATAGTTTTACCATTTTGATTTCCTTCGTTAAGGGGATAATGTGTCGCTTAATTCAGCATGGGCATATATTTGCTCTTACATGTAGAATATGGCTAGTGCTATGATGAATGGCAGTTTAAGACATAGTCATATTTCATTTCTCCCTGAATCATTCCTATACTATTGTCTTTAATAACTGCATCTTTAGTCCTGTTTTTCTGTGGGAAGTAATAGATGACATGATTTATCACCTTTAAATCATGCTTTGTCTTAGTTACACTAGAAAAGTAATAATCTTGGGGTGTATTATTACCAGTTAGTCAGGAGTGAAAATTTGAGAAAGATTAAAAACGTGTAGCGACCTCTGCAGTTGTTGGGTCTCATTCAGTGACAGACATTCATCCCAGTAATCAGGATCCTAGAACTCTCTTGTGGGCAGGCCTTTAATTATGGCTCCATGCAGAGCTTCTTGTCAGATCTATGTTCCCTATCATCTTTCAAAAAGATTTATTTGTTCTCTTGGTATTGGTTTGTCTTTGACACATGGTAACCATGGTTAGTGGAAACTTAAAGAAATTCTCTAAGAAACTGTGTGAGCCTTTACATAGCTTCTGCTTGGAACACTGCATTTTTCTAGCCATTATCATCAAGAATAGCAGCTTCAACTTTTTTTAAAAGCACTTTTGACCTTATGTTTTGTAAAGTATATAAAACAATAATTTATAAACATGATATCAAAACTCATCGTGTTTTTTTAGACTTTTGATATTATTTGATACTGTACAAACTTTGTTAAACCAAGATTTAAGACATACAAGACAGATTTCTTTGAGTGTTCACATTAGAGACTTTGTGTAGAAATATGCTGTGATGGGACTGTACTATAGACTGTTATAAAGACCTTGGTCATGTACATAAGCTTTTTCTTTCTTTTGCTGCTGTATTTAGTTGGTGATAAGTTTTTCACTGTGTGGTATTTATTGTTCCAAATCACAACAGAAATCTTATATTAAAGTATACATTGTTACATAATCCTTCAATTATATTATTTATAGCAGAAATACTTCGGATAAGATGGAATGGGGAAGAATCCATATATTTAATGATAAATAATATGAGTAATTTCATTTTAAAGAGGTAAATTCTCATTTTCTGTATCGAACTAAATTTTCAATGAAATGAAAAGTTCAGGTTTCACTAGATTTCATTAATTCTTTTAAGTACTACATAAATCTGATCTCTGAGATTGCTGAAAACTGACCTTCAGTGTGATGTACTTTCTGCCCAAAGTGTTCTCTGTGTGACACTTTTATTTATTTATTTTTTATTTATTTATTTTTTTTTTTTTTTGGTTTTTCGAGACAGGGTTTCTCTGTGTAGCTTTGCGCCTTTCCTGGAACTCGCTTTGGTCTGGAAATGATATCAAGAAGATAGGAAAACCTGCACTTAGCATAATCATTATTTAACTTTTTAAGTCAGTAAACATTCCTGCTTCTTAAAAATAGAACTTGGAAAAGTAAAAGGAATTTCAAAATGTAGTAATCACTGAACTAACTATCCAGAGAAAGATTAGAAACTGTGTTCTTTCGTTAACTATTTATTAAGTAGGCATTTTATTAGGTGACTTAGGTGAGTAAATGTCCCAACATCATAGTAAATACTTAAATTGACAGCTGTGATCTCATGAAGTTCTTTCTCATGAAAGAAAAATTAACATATTTCCTGTGTAAAATTATATCCATTGTAAAAATAGTTGTCATACTCGTCCATAATTTTTAGATTATAGAGCTTATAGTATGATTTTGTACATCATTATCACTTGTAGCTATATTTTTATTTTTAACACTGTATCCTATTTGAAAGGAATTTGAAAAGACTTATAAAACATAGGTGTTTGTAGAAAACACTAGACTTTACAACAGTGTAGATTTGCATGATCTCATGCAACTCAGGAAGAGAAGCTTGGATGGTCATTTGATTCTAAATTCTCTGACAACTAACCTGAGAGTTGTTCCTTTTTACAATAGAAAACACTTATATTCAGAGGCTAAAGTGAAAGCCATAAATTTAATAATGACAGACATGAAATTTAGCTATCTTATGTGAGTTATTACACCCTACAGAGTACCCAGTGCTAAACAAGCCCTCTGACAAACAATGTAAAGCAGGAAGGTGGTAAAACCCTGCAGTGCCAGAGAACGCTACAGACTAGCTGTATGATGTCAGCATTGCTATCTTCCATCCCAAGCTTAGCATAGCTGTCAGCCCCAGTGGCCACAGATACAACCTACTCATCCACTATCTCAAAGACACAGGAAGAAACTGTGCTATTCCTTTTGCAGAGGAGGGATATTCAATATAAATATTTCACAAAAACCAAAGGATATTCGCATTTCACATCCAGAGCTCTAACTGGTTCCTTTAGCTTTGATTTAATAGAGCCTTTGTCACTCTCCCAGTTGTGTTTTGTGTAATCACTAAGCATTGAGGAGCCGCAGTCTGCACCAAATGCTTCTGCGGTTCTGTTACTACCTAATGAGGGTGCTTACTTGTTTCCAGAGCATGCCAGCTGCTGAGAGAAGATGAGAAAAGCCTGGTTGTCATTCCAGGAATAATTACAGTCAGAGATTACACTTCGTTGCAAAATGATGTCTGCTGTATGTCCGTTTCTTTATTGCAAATACTAAAAGAAATATTCCTGATTCACATTGATTATGGACAGAAGGAACTTTAGGTTTTGCTCTTTTTAAAGATCCAAGAGAGATGATCTAGTCTAGTTTTGTTAATGAGAAGACTAAACTCTAAAGATGAAGTGGCACCCCATGCCTCCGAACTCCTAGCCCAGTGTTCATCCTTGGCTTCTTGTTCCCTCCCTGCTTAGATTTTAAAAATCACACAGTCTTAAACATCAGCCTAGATGTTCCATGCAAAGCTTGTTAGTTGTTCTTACCTAAAATGTAATGCTATAATTTTGTTTACATTATGGTTTCCACCCCTCCTTTTTTAATTTATATAACACTACTATCCTACCGTGTTTTTTTTTTTTTTTGTTACCAGGCTTTGTTGGCACCTGCAAAATATGTAATTACTGTGAATTCTTAATAAATAGTGCTGATTAGCAGCACACAGGGTGATGCCAGAGAGAAAGCATCTTTGCTTTCACTTTTATAATGTTTTTTAAGTTAAAAGAAACGATGTACATTACAGAAATTATAAATATTGGGGTACCGTATCTTGAGTTTTGAGAATTATTTGAGTCTGAACCACAATAAGAAAACAAGCTGACCTGGGATATCTTTTTAGCTTCCTGCACCATCAATTACCTGTTTTATATACCTCTACTAGTTATATGCTCTTCTTTACTAAGCTTTTTAATATACTTTTGATTATATTTCTGAGATTGGTTTACTGGCTTAAAAAGCCCAGCAAGCTAATGATGAGGGTGCACGTATAGTGAGTACTACCTAAACTTGTTTTTTTAAGCAGTAGATTTTTATTAGAGATCAACTTCCAAATCATGTAAGAATTCTCATGTGCTTAATCCAGATTTGGCACTTTAAAGTATTTAACCCTTGAACTGCAAATAAAAACTACTGTTTTGATTTTCTTGCTTGCCTCAATTTCTAAAGTGTGTAAACAGAACATTTAGGGCTTTGGGCATCAGCATTTACATGCCCTTCCTAGGACAGAGTAGGCATGTCCTATTTTTACTACTTCCCAGATAAAATAGTCATAGTTGAGATTTATTTGTTAAGGTAACTTTGGATGATTATTAAATTTAAGAACCATTTTTTACTTTCAAATTAAGAGAAGATGAGCTTAAAAAAATAAAGTTACAGGATGGGGAGCTGAAGAGATAGCTTAGCAGTAAAGAACACTTACTGCACTTCCAGAAGATCAGGGTTCAATTCCCAGCACCTACATGGCAGCTCACAACCACTGTAACTCCAGTTCCAGGCACTCTAGTTCCCTCTTCTGGCCTCTGTGGGTTCCAGGCATGCATGCTGTACACAGACAGACATACAGGCAAAACACTCATATACATAAAATAAAATTTGTAACTAATAGCTCTCTAATTGGACTTAAGGCCCACTCAGCAAGAGGGAGATCATGCCTGGTTCTGGAAACACAGCCAACTACCCAGGGCTAGTGAAGTCGTGGACCTTGGAGAGGAATCTACAACTGCCCATTTACTAAACCAACACAATCTCTAATTACACTCTAAGTATTTATTCTTATACCCACAGATAAGTGAGTTCCCGCTCCTCATCAAGAAAATTTCTCTTTACAATAGGAGACCATTACAGAAACCACAACTGATCCAATTACAGAGTTGTGGAAGCCAGTCCCAACTGATACATCTACAACACAACTCCTGTACCTAAGGCTTAGAAGTTTGTTTGAGAGAGGGTAGAAAATTATAAGAGCCAGATACCAAGAGTTTGCTGTGAGACTCTGTCTCCTTGAAATGTCAGAAAAGCTATATCCAGGAAGTCTCACCAACATAACTACATAAACATGACCTGACAAGGATGACATCAATAGACATGCTTGCATGGAAGGGGAAGCTCATGAGTCTTCAGCTATAGGCAAAGAGCCACAGGCAGCTAATGAATGCTGAGAACTAGAGAAATAGTCTTCCCCAGGGAAGAGCACAGCAATTGGTTGGTTATCCAGTATGATATGGTCAGTCCTGAAAGCAAATATCCAAGTAACATTATACAGATTGAGCAAGTTGTGTTTATATATTTATTCTCTGAATCTTTAAAAAATGTTATGGACTGGAGGGCTGGCTCAGCAGTGCAGGTAAGAGCTCTTGCTGCTCTTCTAAAGAACTAAAGTTTGGTTCCCTGCCACATGTAACGCCAGCATGAGGAGAGCTCATGCTCTCTTCAGGCCTCTGAGGGCACCCACACATGTAGTATACCTTCACAAATAGACATAAATAAAAATAAAAGTGAATCTTTTTTTAAAAATAACCTATATTTTTATATGTATGGGTGTTCTGCATGTGTGTTTGTCTATATACCACATATGTGCAGTCATTTCAAATCATTTCAAAGAATCTCTTAACAGAACTAACTTATTTTCTTTCAACAAGGCAGAGTATGCAAATCATGAGTTACCATAGTAAAAATTATAAGTGAACTCAACACTGCTTTATTTCTGAAAGTTCTGAGTTCATGGTCAGCTTTAATATCATTCTGAAAGTTACTCCAGTTCTTCTGGAGGAGTGTCATTGGAGCTGACATTTCTCTGTTCCACACATCATACTAAACTCAGGCAGCCAGCAAGCTTCTGAGAGTACGATTTCCCTCTTCTTAATTTTTTAAAGCTGTTTTTTAAGTTTCATAGTATTTTTTCATGACTGATTCTTCTCAGGAGTTTGCATTCATAGTCCCATAGTTGGAAATCAAGGACATAGTTCCTCTGTCTTGTTGCTTTTTTTTTTTTTTTTTTTTTTTTTGGTTTTTCGAGACAGGGTTTCTCTGTGTAGCTTTGCACCTTTCCTGGATCTCGCGCTGTAGACCAGGCTGGCCTCGAACTCACAGAGATCCGCCTGCCTCTGCCTCCTGAGTGCTGGGATTAAAGGCGTGCACCACCACCGCCCGGCAAACCATCCATTATATCTTTTTTTTTTTTCTTCCGGAACTGAGGACCGAACCCAGGACCTTGTGCTTGCTAGGCAAGTGCTCTACAACTGAGCTAAATCCCCAACCCCTTGTTGCTTATTTTATTCTACCTTTCCCTGAGTTTCTTTTTACCCAATATTTCTAATTCTACTCTTATTCCTAAATTTCTTCTTACACTATATTTCTATAGTCTACCTTACATTTTTTCTTAATTTTTAGAGATAGAAATTAAGAGAGAGAAAAAGAAAGAAACCTAGATAGAGAGAAATATATGCTTCAGCCTCACTCACTTTTAACTTTGGCAATCAGCCACCTAACTTTCATTCCCGAGGATAAAGTACCATCGCCTTCATTTTTAATTCCTTATCAGTCATGCCTCCTTATACCCGAGACACCCCTGACACTCCCTTTGCCAAGTCTCTGGTCCCTGTTCCTAGCACCATCTGTAGGAGCCCAGCTGGGAGATGGGCTCCCACATTTTACCCCAGGGTGCTCTTGAGGAGAGAGGGATAAGAGATTTAGATAGAAGGATAGAGAGGAGAGAAACAGAAACACAGGATAGCCTCAGGAGGGCCTAGATCCTTATCCACCAGCCCCTTCTGTCTCTTCTAAAGGGCTATTTGTAGGAATGCCAAGGAGTGAAGCAAAGACCTCCCCCATCTCAGCCAAGGGTAAACCCTTTCAGTCACCTAGGAGCCATGCACATGGTCAAACAATCCTCTAATACAGCTCTGCCGGGTAAAGCAAGCTCAGATCTCACTAGGAAACCTTTGTGGGCCTCCACAGTGTTCTCATCTTCTAATCTTTGTCATCCTCTTGTCTACAGCATCCATGCTATCGGTCTTCTCAGCCAGCAAGTAGATCATTGACACATTTCTTTTTTTCATTTTTGAGACTGGATGCTGATTGCTGGAAGGAATTTTCATCAGAAATCTAGGTATTGAACCATGCTTTCTTTTCATATCTTCTATTCTTCATCAATAACATTGTGGTGTTGTATTAAGTGGTTTTTCCAAGAACTATTATCACATTTTGAAAAAGAGGAGGGGAGTTCTTGGCCCCTGGAGCTGGCACTCTGTTATGTGCACACCTCAAAAGATAATTAGCTCTGAACACAAGATAGTCAACTGGCTCAGCTCTAAAACCAACGCCTTTTAAATTCAGTTAAGGAATTCCTTAGTCGTTAGCTTTTAATGTACAAAAACACTTGGAGTTAGAAACGTCTAAGATGAGACAATCTTCTATGATGGCGGTGACCTGTCTGCTGGTATTCAGCTCTTCTGTGGTTTTCTGTCCTTCAGCAGGACCTAGCCACAGATGTCCTTTCAGAGGTAAGGTGACAGACCAACCTCTAGCTGCTTTGTGCAGCCTTACTGGGCTTCCTGCTCGAGGAAAGCAGTTGCAATGTTGTGAGAGAGGCCTGGGTGATAAATGGACATTTCTGTCCAGCAGCTAAGTGGAACTGAGGCCCTCACTGCCACACCCTGTAAAGAGTGGAATCTGTAGCCTGGCTTTGTGGCCCACCACTTTAGCACTCAGGGAGGCAGAGGCAGGCAGATCTCTATGAGTTCTAGGCCAGCCTGGTCTGTATATCAAGTTCCAGGCTAGCCAAGGCTGCATAGTGAGACCCTGTTTCAAGAGGAGGTGCAGCAGGAGCAGCAGGAGCATCTGGAACCATGGAGTGGCTGCAGCTGATACCTTACTTGCAGGTTTGTGAGTCACCTAGGTTACTGACTCAAAAAACAACAACAAAAAGCCAATGGTGTTTGCAGTTTAAAACAGCTACTAGATTTGGAAATGAATTTTTTTATGCAGCCATATCTAACCAATATAAAACTAAAAAGGGAAGGCAAAGTCAAAAGAGATGACCCAATGGTTAAGAACACTTGCTGCTCCTGGCCGGGCGGTGGTGGCGCACGCCTTTAATCCCAGCACTCGGGAAGCAGAGGCAGGTGGATCTCTGTGAGTTCGAGGCCAGCCTGGTCTCCAAAGCGAATTCCAGGAAAGGCGCAAAGCTACACAGAGATACCCTGTCTCGAAAAAAACAAAAAAAAAAGAACACTTGCTGCTCTTGCTGAGAACCCTGGTTCAGTTTCTAGCACCCTGGTGGCAGCTCACAACAACCTGTAATCCAGTTCCAAAAGATCTGACACCCTCTTCTGGCCTCTGCAGGCACACATGTGGTGCACACACATGCAAACACATAAAATAAAAATCCTTAAAAGGAGGGGGGTGCGGGAGAGATGGATCAGTAGTTAAGAGCAGCTGTTGCACTTCCAGAGGACCCAGCACACACAAATGGTTCACAACCATCTGTAACTCCTGACCCCATTTTACTCCACCCCACCCCTTTGATGTACTGAAAGTGGAACCCCGGGTGGAACCATGAAATACACCACTGATCTATACCCTCAGTACCTATCCTGACATTTCCAGTTTCTAGAAGTCAGTCAATAGCCATGTGTCCTGGTTATGGTTTCTATTGCTGTGATGAAACGCCATGACCAAAAGCCAGTTGGGGAGGAAAGGATTTATTTGGCTTACACTTCCACATTATAGTCCATCATGAAAGGGAGATCAGGACAAGAACACAGGCAGGAATCTGGAGGCAAAAGCTAATGCAGAGGCCATGGAAGAATGCTGCTCACTGGCTTGCTCATGGCTTGCTCAACAGTATCTCAGTTAGGGTGTCTATCACTGTGAAGAGACACCATGACCACACAACTCTTACAAAGGAAAACATTTAATTGGGCCCTATGGGGCCCATTCCTATGCAAACCACCACAGCCAGTTTTCTTACAGAGCCCAGAATCACCAGCCCAGGGATGGTACCACCCACAGTGGGCTGGGTCCTCACCCATCAACAACTAATTAAGAAAATGCCCTACAGCCAGGTCTTATGGAGGCATTTCTCAATTAAGGTTCCCTCCTTTCAGATGTCTAGCTTGTGTCAAGTTGACATAAATCCAGCACA